GGAATTTAATTAGTTTCAATGATAATAAAATTCTTCGGATGAATTAAATTATTTTTAATTCAATTTTAGTAATATTTTTTGAAAGAATACAATTATTTTTTAAAATATTAATTAAATTCAATTGTTTTAAAAAATTCTTATATCTAAAATTCTTCGTAAGAATACAATTATTTTTAAAGATATTGAATGAAATTCAATTTTTTTCAACAGTTTTGATAACATTTTTAAGAAAAATTAATTATTTTAAACGTTTTAATAAAAGTTTTCGATTGATTCCAATTATACTTTCAAAATTTTAAATAAAATTCTTTCAAAACATTGAATTATTTTCAAAAATTATGATTCAATTCTTCAAAACAATTCAATTGTTTTGTAAATTGTAAAATTGTTTACAAGAATTTAATGATTTTAAAATTGATAATTAATAATAATAATAATTAATAATTTTTAAGAAAAATTATTTTTAAAAAATAGGAAACAAAAAAGAAAACAACAATTAACTTCAAACTGCGAACAAATTACTGGAATACAAAGATTATTAATATAGGTAATAATTGAGTAGAGTAGATTTTAGAAAAAAATTTTGTTTTTTCTATTTAAGATTAAAGATATTTCTTGTGATTACACATTGTTTTTATTAAGTTTTTAATACGAATAAATACTTTGAAAATATGAAAAGAACTAAATAATTTTTTGTTTATTTCATTTTTTCTAAAAAAAATACTTGAAAAGAAATTAAATTTTCTTTTTATTTTATAAAAAAAAATTAGAAATGTGAATAGATATTATTTACTTAAGAATATATCACGAGATAAATAATATAATAGTATACTTTATAAGAAAGTAAAATTTTATTTAAGAGTAAAAATAATAATTCAAGTCTATTTATTTAAATCTTTCGCGATATTACTTTTATTCACGTCTTTTGTACACTATTGCGACGCTTTCTTTCCCCTCTTCTCTCTCTCTCTCTTATTTCTCAATGGAGGAAAAATATATTTTCCGAGTACATTTTTAGATAAATAAATATTTCAACAAATGTAAATATTTGAAATTCTTTTTACTTGATGTTTGAGACGGAAATCTTGTGATATACAAAAGCAACCTCAGGCAAAAAAAAAAAAATGAAAAAAAAGTCAAGTGTTTGCCCATGACGAGAATAGTATATGCTTCCTTCTAACGTGGCTTGACTCCGTATGATTTCTATTCTGTCGAATAAACGTCCTATTAAGGTGAAAAATCTGCACTGGAAATAAAAACCACTTTTTGAAATAGAAAACAAAAATAAATATATATAATATAAAAAGAGAGCTTTTGTAAATGCGTAGACACACTCTGCTTGCGTATATATATGTTTGTGAAGAATTCGAGTCAATTTATTATTTTCAATGGAGCTTTCTAGGAAGGAAGTATTTTTTCTCTTTCTCTTTCTCTCTCTCTCTCTCTTTTCTGTTGTAATAGACGAAAAGTTTTATTTTCATTTCTATTTTTGTCCTATTTTATTTGTACAAAGACTATTTTTTTTTGTTTCTTTAGAAAGAAAATTTTAGTTTCTTTATTAATTACTGTGAGTGCATCAAATGTCAACAGAATTTTTCTTTACTCCCCCTTAATCAGGAAATGAGTTTCTCTCGTTCGATGTCCCACCATAGTTACGCCCATAATCTATCCCTTATTTATAAGGGGCACAATTCTAACGTAAGAAATCAATTTATCTTGTCAATCATCCATTGTTCTCGTTTTCAGGACGACAAAGAAATATCATTAGAGTATACATGGTCTTATTGCGTATTTATTATATCCACACACTGATTTTTCAAAATCTGTACGTTTTTCAAAATTAGTTCAAATTTGTCCTCTAATTGAAATTAGTATAGGGTTGACACAGGTCAGTAAAATCAGAGAAAAGTCAGGGAATTTTATTAAAAGTGCTAAAAAAATAATTTTTAGAATTTTTTAGAAAATTTTGAATTTTGCGTTTAAAACTTAAACAAAAAAAGGATTTAAAAAGGCTTTAATTTCAAATTTTAGAAAATTTCAATATTGAATGAATTTAATTAGAAATTTTAAAGAACTTAAGAATTCAATTGTTTTCAATAGGTAGGTATAATTTTAATAAATTATCAGATTCAATTATTATTGAAAATTTTGATACGTATTTTTTGCAGAATTTCAATGATTATGAATTTTTTGCAAGAATTCAATTATTTTTAATAAAATTTCTCGAAAGAATTCAATTGATCTTAAAATTTTTGATAAAAATTTCTTGTCAGAATTACAATTATTTATTGAATAAAATTTCTCGAAATATTTCCATTATTCTTGAAAATTTTGATAAATTTCTTTGCAGAATTTCAGTTATTTCGAATTTTTTCGCAAGAATTCATTATTTAGTTTCAATAAAATTTCTCTAAAAAATTAAATTTTTCTTCAAAAATTTTGAAAAATTTCTTATCAGAATTCCAATTATTTTAAATTTTTACAAGAATTCAATTGTTTTTCATATAATTTTAATAAAATATCAGATTCAATTACTCTTGAAAATTTTGATAATTTTTTTTGCAGAATTTCAATTATTTTCTATAAAATTTCTTGAAAGAATTCAATTGTTCTTAAAATTTTTGATAAAAATTTCCTGTCAGAATTTCAATTATTGATTGAATAAAATGTTTCGAAAGAATTCAATTATTATTAACATTTTTTTAAAAAAATTTCTTGTTAATCTCAATTATTTCGAATTCTTTGAAAGAATTAAATTGTTCTGAAATATTAAAATAAATTTTTTCGTAGAATTTCAATGATTTTCAATATTTTTGCAGAATTTCAATTATTTTTAATAAAATTTCTTGAAAGAATTCAATTGTTCTTAAAATTTTTGATAAAAATTTCTTGTCAGAATTTCAATTATTGATTGAGTAAAATTTCTCGAAATATTTCGATTTTTCTTGAAAATTTTGATAAATTTCTTTGCAGAACTTCAATTATTTTGAATTTTTAGCAAGAATTCATTATTTATTTTCAATAAAATTTCTCTAAAAAATTAAATTTTTCTTCAAAAATTTTGAAAAATTTCTTATCAGAATTCCAATTATTTTAAATTTTTACAAGAATTCAATTGTTTTTCATATAATTTTAATAAAATATCAGATTCAATTACTCTTGAAAATTTTGATAATTTTTTTTGCAGAATTTCAATTATTTTCTATAAAATTTCTTGAAAGAATTCAATTGTTCTTAAAATTTTTGATAAAAATTTCCTGTCAGAATTTTAATTATTGATTGAATAGAATTTTTCGAAAGAATTCAATTATTATTAAATTTTTTTTATAAATTTCTTGTCAATTTCAATTATTTTGAATTCTTTAAAAAAATTCAATTATTCTGAAATATTTTAATAAATTTCTTCGTAGAATTTCAATTATTTTGAATTCTTCGCAAGAATTCAATTATTTTCAATAAAATTTCTCGAAAGAATTCAATTTTTCTTAAAGTTTTTGATAAATATCTTGTCAGAATTTCAATTATTTATTAAGTAAAATTTCTTGAAAGAATTCCATTATTTTCAATACTGTTTTAATAAAATATCAGAATTCAATTATTGTTAAAAAAATTTGAATAATTTCTTGTAGAATTTCTATAATATTTAATTTTAGAAAATTTGACTTTTGAACGAATTTAATTATAAATTTTAATAATTGATAAATAATTGAATTTTATAAAAAGTCACTTTTTAATGTCTTCATGTTTCTTTGTGCGAAGATTAATAATTAAAATTTTTATTAGTTAATTTAAAAAAAAATAAAGTTGAATTTTCGCAAAGTTTTTTTAAAAATCCTGAAAAATGAGATTTTTGAAACCCTTTTTCAATTCTGTTGTTGTAATTATAATTTTATTTTAAAAATTTTTTTCGCAATATATTCAATTATTTTCATAAATAGTAAAACTCATTGCAGAATTTTAATTATTTTAAATACAATTTTAATCGAATTCCTCGAAAAATGTAATTATTCTTAAAAATTTTATTTAAATTTGTCGAAAGAATTCAATTATTTCTAAGAACTGTAAAAAAATTCTTCTCAAGAATTCAATTTAAATAGAAAAATTCTTCAGATTTACTAAATTCTTTTGAATATTATTTTTAAAAAAAATTCTTCACAAGAATTCAATTATTTTCGTAAATTTCCATAAAATTCTAAAAAATAATTCAATTATTTTCAAAAGTAATAAAAAATTCTTTGCAAAAATTCAATTATGTTTAAAAATTTTTCTAAATTCTCCTCAAAATTTCAATTATTTTTATAAATAATTAAATTTTTTTCGACAATTCAATTATTTTCAGAAATTTTAATAAAATTCTACGCAAACATTTAATTATTTTCATAAATATGTAATAACATTCTTTGGAAGAATTCAATTACTCTTTTATAGATAGTAAAATTCTTTGCAGAAATTTAATTAGTAACAAAACATTTTTAAAAAACACAGGAAATGAAAAGTGTTGTTTTAACCTGAATTCGGGTGAAAATAACACGCAACAAATTTTACCCTCGTAGGGTAAAATTTGTTGCGTGTTATTTTCACCCGAATTCAGGTTAAAACAACACTTTTCATTTCCTGTGAATTGAATTAATCAAATTTTCAATTATAATTATGAACAGACAAGATTATTTTAAAAAATTGAAAAAATTCTTTCTTTAATTTAATTATTTTCTAAATTTTAAATAATAATTATTTAAAGAAACATTATTTTCAAAAAATTTAAAGAAATTTGTTAAAAGAATTTAATTATTCATTAAAAACTGTAATAAAAAATTTGGAAACCATTTATACATTGATTTATGTTCGAAATCAAATTAAATTTGATGAGAAAAAAAACAGGGGAAAATTAGGAAAAAAACCGGGAATTTTGTTGAACGAAAATAGTAGACACCTTGTATTTTCTAAAGACAGGAAAGAGAAATAATTTTTTTTATTTAAATAAATAATTGTTTTTGTTGCAGGCAAAACGAGGCCAATAGTGGCAATGGAAGAAACAAGTCTTCCTCAATTAATAGTACCTGCTTCTCACACGGCACTGTCTCGCGACTTGACAGTTATGATATTGGATTTACCATCAGTTAGTCCTCTAGAAATTCCGGACATATTGAAATCAACAACGACAACAACAACGTCAACATCAACAACAAATATTCCCGTAGATGAAGACAGTGAAGATTACGATTTCGATAAAACTGAAGACGACATTCAAACACCTTACGTTCTCAGGTTTGTTTTTCTAAATTAAATATAATTTTCTTCGAATTAAACTAGAATGTGTAATTTTAATTTGTAATTTTTTAAATAAAATTTTACTTTATATTTTTGTATTATAATTATATAGTATAGTAAATAAAATACAATATTTATACTTGATATGTAATATAATAATAGAACGTATATATTTCAATGGAATGAGAATACAATTGACAATTGTGACTATTTGTTTGCGCAGAGTTTTGAGACTGGATGAATTTACATCGGAGTTGGTTGGTCAAGTTCCTGTTGAAACTCATCCTCCGACAGGTGGCAATCTTTCCCTCACAATACCCTGTGGTTTCTTCTCTCGTGGAGGTACCTATTCTATTCGTCTTCAATCAAAGTCCGAACCCCCACCACCGAAATTCGCCAATATTGCAAATCTCCACCAAGTTCAGGTAAATGAATCACTACTTTCCATATCAATTGAATTTTATTCTTTTTTCTTTCAAATTCGAAAATAAAAAAATATAAACTAATAAAACAAAAAATATTTGAACCAATAATTTCAGTATTTTAAGCAAATATGAATTTATTTTTCGCAAATAAAAAGAAACTTAAGTAAATATTATTTTTATTTATGATAATAAACGAGGTTATTCGAATCGAATAAATTTTATTTCAGTCAAATAGTTTTTTTAGTATAATATTAAAAATAATAATGATAATATTTAAAATAATAGAAGAAATAATAATAACTGAGATAATGATAAAATTTTAGATAAATATGAAGTTTTGGGAGCAAAAAATTAATGTATATAAAAATATTTTTAAAAAAACAACGATGAATAGTAAAGAGACAATGAATAAAGTAAAGAGAGAAGAAAACCATTTCTATCTGACTTGTACCGTATTTTACTACTTGGAAGTGGAACAAAATAATAATTAATCCAAATGAATAATTAATTGAATTAAAAGTTTCTTCAACCACAGTCCCTGTTTCATTACAGCTACCACATTTATATAGTAAATTCTAGTTGAAATTTTGTCTGACTAAAAATGCCTTTTACTACTAACGAATAGACGATAGAAGTTCTAATGCTTTGACCATTAAATAATTATCAAATTTTAATAAAATTATTTCAATTATTAAATTTTAATTTATTTAATTATTTCAATTATTAAATTTTAATTTATTTAATTATTTCAATTATTAAATTTTAATTGATTTAATTATTTCAATTATTAAAGTTTAATTTATTTAATTATTTCAATTATTAATAATACAATTTTTTTGGAGAAGAAAAAGTAGTAGAAAAGTGTAAGACAAAACTATTTTTATAACAAACTTGGTTCAAATTATAATGTTATTCAAAAAATTCAAGTTATTTGAATCAAATACCTATACATTTTTTCAGATCCAATTATAAAAATTAGTTGAACTAAGTAAATATTTTTCAACTAATTTGAATTTAATCAAATAAAATTTTTTTAGTGTTCTGTATTTTTCTACTATAATTTTTATTGTGTGGGTAGTAGAAAAAGTAGTAGAAAATATATATAGAAGAAAAAATACGACAAAATAATTTTTATGTCTGACAAAAACAATTTTTTACTACTGACAGTAAAATGATAGTAAAACTGTATTGTCTGACTAAAATGGAATTTTTCTACTGAAATGAACTTTTCTAGATTTTTAATTAACTTGTCTGAGGAATTTCTTAATTTTCTACAATGAAAAAAAATTAATGTAAAACGTTCTTTGTCTGACTAATCGTATTTTTTACTACTAATATATATATAAGTTTGGCAGGATTTTTAAAACCGATTTCACCGACTAAAGAGGTATTTTACTACTTCAAAATATTTTCTGAAGGGAAATCTTTTAAATAATAAAAGTGAAATAATACGAATTGAGAATACACATATTGTCTGACTAAATAAGGAGTTTTACTACTGAATTTTATATTTTCTTAAAGAAAATCTTTTAATAGTGAACTAATAAGAATTAAAAATGTATTGTCCGACTAAATAAGGAGTTTTACTACTGAATTTTATATTTTCTTAAAGAAAATCTTTTAATAGTGAAATAATACGAATTGAGAATACACATATTGTCTCAGTAAATAAGGAGTATTACTACTGAATTTTATATTTTCTTAAAGAAAATCTTTTAATAGTGAAATAATAAGAATTAAAAATGTATTGTCCGACTAAATAAGGAGTTTTACTACTGAATTTTATATTTTCTTAAAGAAAATCTTTTAATAGTGAACTAAAAAGAATTAAAAATATATTGTCTGACTAAATAAGGGGTTTACTACTGAATTTTATATTTTCTTATAGAAAATCTTTTGATAGTGAAATAATAAGAATTAAAAATGTATTGTCTGACTAAATAAGGGGTTTTACTACTGAATTTTATATTTTCTAAAAGAAAATCTTTTAATAGTGAAATAATAAGAATTAAAAATGTATTGTCCGACTAAATAAGGAGTTTTACTACTGAATTTTATATTTTCTTAAAGAAAATCTTTTAATAGTGAACTAAAAAGAATTAAAAATATATTGTCTGACTAAATAAGGGGTTTACTACTGAATTTTATATTTTCTTAAAGAAAATCTTTTGATAGTGAAATAATAAGTATTAAAAATGTATTGTCTGACGAAAAACTACTTTACTACTCATATGTAAATTATATTATTAAAAATCATTTTGTCCTATTTTCCCTATTTAATTTTTTCTATTTTAATTTTTCCTTAAGTAAACTATTCTTTTTATTAATTTTCTACTATTTTTTCTTACTAATTTTTCTACATACTTCTACAGTTTGTTTCTGACTGAATCTTAGGATTGGAAATCGATTATTTCAAACAAATTTAAATTTTTTTTAGTGTATATTCTTTTTATTTTTTATTTTTTTCTACCCTTTTTTCTGAAAACTGAATTTTCTTGATACTACTGACGAATGTCAGTGGTTGAGAAAAAATGAAAATTCAGTTGGAAAACGTGAAGAAAAACTTTTTACATTAAAACCGTTGTATTATTAATTATTAAAGAGCATTTTGTCTGACCGTAACTGTCTTTAACCACTGCTCAATAGTTAACTGTCAAAAAAGCGTAAATGCTTTAGCTAACTAAAAACACTTTTTACTACACTGTAACCATAATTACACAAATTGGAATCGTGTGGTCTGACTGAAATTGGATTTTACTACTGATATATAGAGAGAGATCGTAAGTAATTAGCAAGTCTGACTGTGAATCACTTCTACCACTGTTGCTGAAATTAAATTATTTATAAAAACATTTTGTCCCTCAGGGTAAATTTTTAGCTTAAAATAACAAGAACATAAGCCGTTATTGTCGAATTAAACATATGTAATTAATCAATAATGTAAATATTAAATAATAAATAATCAAAAATTATAAATAATAAATTATAATAAATCTAAATTAGAATAATTTAAATAATAAGAAAATATTAAATAATAAGTAATAAATAATCAAAAATTATAAATAATAAATTATAATAAATCTAAATTGGAATATTCAATTTAGAAAAATTTGGTTTAAAAAACTTTCTATTAAAAACGACATCAATCTTTTTTTTTTTAAATGAAAATGAAATAAAAATGAACGAAAATTTAAAAAAATAAAAATTTTCCATTTGTGTGTATTTCTCTAATTTTTCAATAAGAAAATATTTCGTGAGAGACTTTATAATGTTACAGTCAATTTTAGCTGAGGTTTAAAAATTTTTTTTTCTGTCTTGGCATTTATCATTCCATCTTTTTAAAGTTTTTTTTTTCTCCTTTTTTTAAATTGTTGTCAAGTTTAGCGAATTCCTGTACTCTGATTCAATTCCCCTGTCGTCTGAAAAGGAACTCTTGCATTTTACAGAATACTTATTTCAAATGCGAAATCTAATAACGTGCGACGACTCGCAATTTAGAAAATTGAGTCTCTACTTGCGTTTGTATGTAAAATATCATAGAATATAGTACAGAAATACGCTAATATACATTCACTATTACAATGTTTAATTCAATATTTAATATTTATTCTTCCTTCTCTTTATAATATTTCATATAATTTTAATTAAAATTTTCTTTTATACCATTTTCTTATATTTCGCGTATTATTTGAATAATTACACTCCTTTTATCGTTCATTATTACTTTCATTATTAATTCATTTTTATTTTCACTTATTTGTCGATTTCGAAGGAAATAATTTATTACGTATGAATTTATTATTCATATTTTTAATTGTTGTTTATTATTATGTTACAATTTTTATTATAATTAGGTACTTATTTTTTTAAGAAAAAATTAATTCGGAGAAATTGTTAACTGCTTCTTTCACCTTTGATAAATTCCTTCTTCGTTAAATTAATTTTTTAATATGATAATCAATTTTTTTATCAGAATGTATGAAAATAATGTAAACATTAAAAATTTAATTTTAAAATTAAAAATTAAATATTTAATTTAAGAAATAATTAACAAAAAAATTTATAAATGCTAATGAAAGTTCTTTTTATGTAGAATTGAAATCACACGAACGTTAAGTTTCTGATTTAATTTGCTAATTAGTTTTTGTAATTTCCAAACCGCTTTAAATAAGTTTTCTAATTGCGTTTAACGTTGGTGTACATGTTAATTTAAAAATTTTGTAATTGAATCATTATTTTGCAGATGAGATCAACTTTGGATGTAAGATGGCCGATTCCATCTCTATCTATAGAACCACAACATTTGGAAACTTATCCTATTCAACCAGTTCTAGCAACTTTGGAATATACAGGAGTTTCCTGTCAACCTTCCCCGGGGGTTCCAATTACAACTTATTCATTGCAACTAATTTTTTGTGGCGTCAGTGTTCTGTCCTGCGATCCTAGAAATAAAACACTTGTACAGGTAATTGCTTCAGAAAGAGAACAAATTTATTGCACTTGCTTCATAGTAATTTAAATAAAATTGAATAATTTATTTTTAAATAATAATTTTTATAGAATTTTTGGATAATGATAATAAATAGTTTTAGTTATTGAGATTTTTATTTTACTATTAGATTATAATTTTTATTTTTACTTACTTTACAATTTTTATCCGATTTTAATTTTTATTGTATTTTTATTTCAATTCAGTTTTTATTTGATTTTTATTTATGTTTCAATTTAATTTTCATTTTAATACAATTTTTAATTTAATTAAATTTGTACATAAATTGACTTTTTAATTAAATTGAATTTTTTATTTTAAATTAGTTTTTATTTCAATCGAATACTTACTTTCATTCAACTTTCATTTCAATTTGATTTTAATTTGATTTTTTATTTCAATTCAATTTTTATTTCAAAAGTTAAATTTTTATTTTAATTCAATTTTACTTTAATTTGATTTTTATTTAAATTAAATTTTACATTAATTTCATTTTTATTTAAATTCAATTTTTAATTCAAATTTTATTTTATTTCAATATCTATTACATTTCAATTTTTATTCAAATTGAATTTTTATTTTAATTTCAATTTAATATTCAGGTATTTCAATTCAATTTTTGTTTCCAATTAATTTTGATTTGAAAGCAATTCTTATTTCCAGTTAATGTTGATTTTAATTCAATTTTTATTTTAACTCAATATCTATTGTAATTATATTTTTATTAAAATTGCATTTTTTTCAATTCAACTTTTGTTTCAATTTAATTTTTCCTTAATTTCTGTTTCAATTTGACTTTTAATTTAATTTCACTTTTATTTTAATTTTTATTTCTATTTTGGATTTGAATAGAATTTTTAATTCAAATGAATATTGATTTTAATTCGATATGTAGGGCTTATAATTTAATTTTTATGAAAATTGCGTTTTTTTCAATTCAACTTTCGTTTCAATTTAATTTTTACTTAAATTTTTGTTTCAATTTAAATTTTATTTTAATTTAATTTCAACTTTAATTCCATTTTTATTTCTAATTAATATTGATTTGAATGCAATTTTTATTTTAAATTAATTTTAATTTCAATTTTATTTTTATTTTAATTCAATATCTAGGTCTTACACCTAATTTAATTTTTATGAAAATTGTATTTTTTCAATTCAATTTTCGTTTCAATTTAATTTTTACTTATATTTTTGTTTCAATTTGACTTTTATTTTCATTTAATTTCAATTTTAATTTAATTTTTATTTCTAATTAATATTGATTTGAATGCGATTATTAATTCAAATTAATTTTGATTTCAATTTAATTTTTATTTTAATTTAATATCTAGGTATTATAATTCAATTTTTATGAAAATTGAAGTTTTTTTCAATTCAAATTTCGTTTCAATTTAATTTTTACTTAATTTTTGTTTAAATTTGACTTTTATTTTAATTTATTTGCAATAAATTTTTTATTTCTCATTAATTTTGATTTGAATGCGATTCTTAATTTAAATTAATTTTGATTTCAATTTAATTTTTATTTTAATTTAATATTTAGGTATTATAATTTCAATTTTTATGAAAATTGCATTTTTTTCAGTTGAAATTTAGTTTCAATTTAATTTTTACTTAAATTTTTGTTTCAATTTGACATTTATTTTATTTTCAATAAAATTTTTATTTCTAATTATTTTTTATTTGAAGGCGATTTTTAATTAAAATTAAGTTTTATTTCAATTTAATTTTTGTTTAAATTTAAATTTTCTGAATTTTTGTTTCAATTTGACTTTTATTTTAATTTAATTTTAATTTCATTTTTATTTCAATTTAAATTAATTTTGATTTCAATTTAATTTTTATTTTATTTTAATATCTATGTATGATAATTCAATTTTTATGAAAATTGCAGTTTTTTTCAGTTCAACTTTAGTTTCAATTTAATTTTTATTTAAATTTTTGTTTAAATTTGATTTTTATTTTAATTTAATTTCAATTTTAATTTTATTTTTATTTCAATTCAATTTTTATTTCTAATTAATATTGATTTGAATGCAATTTTTATTTTAAATTAATTTTGATTTTAATTTAATTTTTATTTTAATTAATATTTAAAATAATTGTAATTGAATTTTTATTTTAATTCGACTTTTATTGAAATTAAATTATTATTTTAATTCAACTTTTGTTTCCATTTAATGTTGCTCTAATTTCCGTTTTGATTTAATTTAAATTTTACAATATAATTTTGATCTTGATTTAATATTGATTTCAACTTGATTATTATTTAATTTTTATTTGAATTGAATTTTGATTTTAATTTAATTTTTATTCATTTTTTTAATATGAGCTGAATATTTATTTTAATTCCATGTTGGCTTTAACTTTATTTTGTTTAAGATTTTCCAAGAAATAAATTTCCAAGTTGAAAAAATATAAAAAATTTCTGTTTTAAACTACAAAAAAATACGAAAAGTAAAAAGTTCTAAATTAATAATTTCTAACATTAAAAAATATGGAGTTTAAAAATTAAAAAACTTAAAAGAAATTTAAATAAATAAGCACAAAATAATATTAAAAATGTAAAAATAAATAAAAATTAAATTAAGTGTTAGAAATAAAAATAATAATCTTCTTGTGTCGTAAAAAAAGAAAAAAGCAAAGAAAAAAGCTCAAAGGGAAAAGAAAAAAAATAATGATTGTATTTCACGTTGAGAAAGTTTACTTTGTGCACTTTTGTTTAATTCCATACATATTGGCATAAGCTTTTGGTAATACTTTTAGAACACGAATGAAGTTTAGCATTTTTTTTTCTGGGTTACAGATGCTTTATACGGAGGAGGTAAAAGGATTTCCTACACAGAAGGTCGTAAAGCTACGATGTGAATTTTTTGGTTTGGCCGGACATTACGCTCTGAGGCTGAAACCCTCGGAAGCTAATCCTAATGCTCCAACTACCAGTGCCTATATTAAGGTGAGTGTCCTTGTATTCTCCTTTCGTTTACACGTGTAATTCACGAAAATTCAAACCTCCTCGTCTCCTCAACTCGTCAAATTCACGTTTTCAAATGTTTTAATGAGAAACTTCAAATGAATGGAAATTCACCGAGATTGAGAATTTATAATTTTGCATAAACATATATATATACATGTACATTTCATATATGTACTTACTTAGTACCTGAAATGAAAATTAGAGCAATGAGTATTATTAATTATTTTTTTAATTATTAATATACCACATTTATTCTAGTTTCTTTCAATTCCAAAAATAATTTCCTTAATTCAATTATTTTTATAAATAATAAAATTTTTTCAATTATTTTCATAATTAATAACATTTTTTCAATTATTTTCAATAAAAAATAATGAAAAATTGTAGAAAATAATAATTGATTTGAAATTATGAAAATAATTTTTAAAAAAGTTACTGTAATAATATTCAATGATTTTATCACTCGGTAATCTTTAATTATTATAAAACATAAAGAAATCGATCACTCCGAGTCTTCGACTCGGAGCAATCGCTATCTTCATGTTTTATAAAAATATTCTTATAAGTTATTGAATTAAAAAAAATTTGAATTTGAATGTTTTGAAAAATTTTAATTCCTACGGAAAAATAATATTTAAATATTTATTTAAAAAAAAGTTATTGATGTTTTCGAATAATTTTACAATTAAAGAAATTCGTAAATAAATGTAACAGAACATTATTTTTTTTGAGTAAAATTTTTTCCTTTATTTTCTAAAAATTTAAAAAGTTTCAATTTCATTTTCAATTAAAATTTGTAATTGACAAATAGAATAGAATATGAAATGTTTCTTTTTCAAAAGAAAAGAATGGGTTCCTGAACAATATTGTTATTGAGAAATAAAAATTATGCGTACCTATATTTCTTATTTCTTAATTATAATTTTTTAACAAATTAGCAATTTTCTATTTTTTATAAATAGAAAGGAGAAAAATTTGCATAATTTACATCAGCCAAATGAAATTTGTTATAGAAAAAAGTATATAATAAACAAAATTTATTTGCTAATTATATGTAATTTTTTTGTTTTTTAATTTAAAATATTGTTTTCGAATGAAAGAATGAAATACGAAGATTATTATTATAGTTAATTTTAATTTAGAATTTGAATACAATTGCCTATGGTGGAAGGTACTTTTCCATTGAAGTAGGTAAAGTTATTAAGGTCTGTGAAGCTGGCCGAACCACTTTTATAAAAATGAATTTAAATTATACCATTAATTAGTGCTCAATTAGTGCTATTTTTGTACCATATTGCCGAATTTAGTGCTCAATGTTTATTTAAAAAAAACAATGGTTCTGCTGAGTGAACGTTCCGCTGGCCGGACCATAACGAAAAACGCTTTAAAAACGCCAACAGAATATTTATAAATAGCCTATTATTTAGTGCTCAATTAGTGCTCAAAGATTAACAAAATAAAAAATTTTTTTATTAATTATTTATTTAAAAAAAAAAAAATTTTTTGAATGAGTGAGTAATCCGTTAGCCAGACCATAACGAAAAACGCAATAAAAACACCAACAAAATATTTATCGATAGCCTATTATTTAGTGCTCAATTAGTGCTCAAAGATTAACAAAATAAAAAATTTTTTAATTAATTATTTATTTAAAAAAAATTTTTTTTCGATTGAGTGACTAATCCGCCAACCGCACCATTACGACAGACACGTCAAAAATCACAACAAAATATTTATCAATACCCTAAAATTTAGTACTCAATTAGTGCTTAAATATTAACACAATAAAAAATTGTTTATTAATTATTTATTTATAAAAAACATTTCTTCGAAAGAGTGAACACGTTAAAAATGTTTTAAATTCGTTTTATAATTCGTTTTCTTAGCCTATAATTTAGTGCTCAAATAATGTTCGCAGATTAAGAAAATAAAAAATTTTTTTTATTAATTATTTATTTAAAAGAAAAACTTATTCAAATGAGTGAGCGAACCGCTATCCGCACCATTACGAAAAACACATTAAAAACGCCAACAAAATAGTTATCAATAGCATATTATTTAGTGCTCAATTAGTGCTGAAAGATTAACACAATTCAAAATTTGTTTATTAATTATTTATTTAAAAAACTAACTTATTAGCTTATTACTAACTCAGCGATCCGCTGGCCGGACCATAACGAAAAACACGTTAAAAACGCCAACAGAATATTTACAATTAGCCTATTATTTAGTGCTCAAAGATTAACACAATTCAAAATTTGTTTATTAATTATTTATTTATAAAAAACATTTCTTCAATAGTTCTAGAGTTCCTGATAGTTTTTAGAAATAGTTCCGGCAATTAAATAGTAAAAAATAAGTTTTTTCATAATAGGGGGCCAACTTCACGCAGTCCCTCACTATTGAAAAAGTGGATTTATAATTAGAGTTTTGAGTTGTTCTAATAGAGTTCTAGAGTTCCCTACATTTTATTCGAATAGTTGAGCCATGTTAAGTTGGCACTACTTTTTTGAAAAATCAAAAATTTTACAAGAGTTCTAGGCACTTTGGTAATAGTTCTAGAGTTCTCTAACGATTATTTAAATAGTTCTGATAATTAACAATAAAAAAAGCGACAATGAAAAATCATAGTGCTAACTTTGCATAGCACTATGATTTTTGCAAAAAAGAGTTCTGACCTAATATTCTGAAAGAGAATAAAGAGTTCTAGAGTTCTTTACTAAAAAAACAAGAGTTCTGCAAAATTTCAAAAGTTATTAACAAATTAAAAAAAGATATGAAAATAATATTTTGCAAGTTCTGAATAGAGTTCTGGCATCGTCATAAAGAGTTGTATAAGAATTTCTTGTGACATTTTGTTTTAAATCCAAAATCAAAAAAGTTACAGGACTTTGAAGATTTCAAGAAATTAAAAAAATTAAAAATTCAGAATTCTGAGGATTTAATGTTTAATAATTTTGGGACAATCATGTTGCACTTTCCTCAAACAGTTAAGTCCTGTAACTTTTTTGATTTTGGATTTAAAACAAAATGTCATTAGGAATACTAACTTATAGAACTCTTTATTATGATGCCAGAACTCTAATCATAACTCTGAATTTTTAAATTTTTTGAAAATTTTAAAGTTCTGTAATTTTTTGGATTCTAGATTTAAAACAAAGTGTCATAAGGAATACTTATAGAACTCTTTTTAATGATGCCAGAACTCTTTTCAGAACTTTCAGAACTCTGAATTTAAAAATTTTAAAAATTTATGAAAATTTCAAAGTCCTCTAACTTTTTTGATTTTGGATTTAAAACAAAATGTCATTAAGAATACCTATAGAACTCTTTATGATTATGCCAGAACTCTTTTCAGAACTCTCAGAACTCTGAATTTTCAAATTTTCAAATTTTTTTAAAATTTCAATGTCCTGTAACTTTTTTGATTTTGGATTTAAAACAAAATGTCATTAGGAATACTTATAGAACTTTTTATGATGATGCCAGAACTCTTTTCAGAACTCTCAGAACTCTGAATTTTAAAATTTTGAAAATTTATGAAAATTTCAAAGTCCTGTAACTTTTTTGATTTTGGATTTAAAACAAAATGTCACTAGAAATACTTATACAACTGTTTATGACGATGCCAGAACTCTTTACAAAACTCTCAGAACTCTGAATTTTAAATTTTGAAAATTTTAAAAAACTTCATAGTCTCGTAACTTTTTTGATTTTGGATTTAGAACAAAATGTCATTAGACATACTTATAGAACTCTTCGCAACGATGCCAGAACTCTATTCAGAACTTGCAAAATATTATTTTCATATGTTTTTTTAATTTGTTAATAACTTTTGAAATTTTGCAGAACTCTTGTTTTTTTAGTAAAGAACTCTAGAACTCTTTATTCTCTTTCAGAATATTAGGTCAGAACTCTTTTTTGCAAAAATCATAGTGCTATGCAAAGTTAGAACTATGATTTTTCATTGTCGCTTTTTTTATTGTTAATCATCAGAACTATTTAAATAATCGTTAGAGAACTCTAGAACTATTACCAAAGTGCCTAGAACTCTTGTAAAATTTTTGATTTTTCAAAAAAGTAGTGCCAACTTTACATGACTGAATAGTTCTGATAATCCGAAGTCATAAACAAATAATTGAAAACACGAGAATTTTTCAAAAAATCTAAAATGTTACGTTACAAGAGTTCTAATTAGAGTTCCGTTAGCCCCCCATCTAGATCAATAAAAAACTCTTATAACAATTTTTTCAAAACCTAAAAACTACAAAACTACAAGACTTTTATGTTTTAAAAGAAATTTTTTTTTTTTCAATTGAAAGTTCTATGAGTTCTAATCAGATTTCTGTGAGCCCCCAATACTGTTCGATAAAATAACTATAATAGGTAACAATTTTCTTAAGACCCAAAAACTACTGAATTACAAGACTTTAAAGTTTCAAAAAAATTCATTTTTTTGTTAAATTTAGAGTTCTAAGAGTTCTGATGAGAGTTCTGCGAGCCCCCAATAGTGTTCGATAAAAAACCCTGAAACCAATTTTTTCAAAACCTAAAAACTATTAAACTACAAGACTTTTATGTTTCAAAAGAAATTTGGTTTTTTTAAATTGAAAGTTCTATGAGTTCTAATCAGAGTTTTGTGAACCCCAAATCTTCAGACAACTACCAATTGCTTGGTCAATAAGCTTTGTTTTACATATATAATTACGCACCATTATGTATATCAACCTAAAAAGAACAATTAAACACTTTTTTAAAATTTGCAATGGCATTAACAGGATTTTACCGTGCCGTATTATCTCTATAACTATCCTTGCCCCTTGAGCGCATATTTCAGTTTTTTTTAAATTTTAAGGAACGACGTGAATTAATTTGAAAATAAATACAATATTCGTGTTCAGCAGGAAATTCCACTCCGAAAAACACTTACGTAAATAAATATTCTGAAACTCTAATATAGAAAACAATATGATAAACAT